GGAGCAGGACTTTACAGAAGTTGTTATGGAATTCTTCGAGACATGTCAGATTTTAAAACAGATTAACTCCACTGTCGTTACTTTAATACTTAAACTTGAGAATCCTAAAGATGCTAGTCAATACAGGCCGATTTCATGTTGTAATGTGTTGTATAAGTGTATTTCAAAAGTGTTATGTGATAGATTGAGTAGTGTACTGCCTGTATTGGTTAGTGGATAGTAATCAAAGTGCATTTGTAAAGGATAGGCTGATTATCCGTAACATTTTGATTACTCAGGAATTGATAAGACTATATGGTAGGAAACATATTAGTAGTAGATGTTTAATGAAAATAGACCTTAGAAGGCATATGATTCGGTCGAATGGGACTTTGTCGTAGAATGTCTTTTAGGGTTTGGTTTCCCAGAAAAGTTTGTAAACTGGATAAAAGCATGTATTATTAGAACATCTTTTTCTCTAAGTTTAAACGGTATTAATATGGGGTATATTCAAGGAAAAAGGGGACTAAGGCAAGGAGATCCTATTTCTCCGTTATTATTTGTGCTTATCATGGAGTATTTCACTCGACAGTTGAAAGAAGTAGCTACCCATCCTTAGTTCAGATTTCACCCTAAATGTAAGGACATGAGACTAAAGAATATCTGTTTTGCTGACAATCTCATGGTGTTCAGTAAAGCTAATTTGTTTACAATAGAGTGTATAATGGAAAAAACTTAAAGAGTTCTAGGGAACATCAAGGTTAATAGCTAATATAGGGAAGTCGGAGGTTTACTATGGGGAGTGCCTGACTGGCTAAACAGAAAATAGGGGATAGTACTGGATTCAGAGAAGGGTTAGTTCCTATGAGGTATTTAGGTGTCCCGCTGTCACCGAAAAAATGGTATCAAATGGAATGCTAAACCCTAGTTGACAGAATAGTTGCTAGACTAATGTGTTGGAGCACAGGTCACTTGTCTTATGCTGCTAGGTTACAATTGATTAACTCTGTGTTAATGAATCTTCATGTATACAAGCCTCAGCTTTCATTTTACCTATGAGCATAACAAACAGAGTTAACCGATATTGTCATGAATTCCTATGGGGTGTAAAAGCATCAGGAAGGTATAATGCTCTGGTTGGATGGGATCAGCTGTGTCATGAAAAATCAGGAGGCCTGGGAATAAAAGATCCAAGAATCAGGAATGATGCAGCCATATTGAAGTAGATTTGGTGGTTGGCGCTTAAAAAAGACAACTTATGGGTTAAATGGACCCATGAGTTGTATCTCAAAGATCATGGGATTTGGGAGGTACAGCCAAAGGAGGACAGCATTTGGCATTGGAAGCAACTGCTGCGCACAGAGATAAAGCTATTGATTTGTTTGAAGGTAGTAAATGGAAGCTAAATAGTTAAGGGGTATATACTATTACTGAAGGATACAACTGGATGATTGGTAGGAAGGAGAAAATGAAGGAAACCAAGTGGATTTGGTCCCGAGTGAATGGGCCGAAACATTCGTTTATTGCTTGGCTATATTGGAAGGGAAGATTATGGACCAAAGATAGATTGGTTCAACATAATGTGCAGATAGAAGAGGCTGTATGTAGGCTCTGTAACCAGTAGGATGAAATAGCTCAACACTTATTTTTTCAGTGTGAATTCTCAACTGAGATAGTGGGCAGAGTCAAGCTGCGGATGGGCATTAGGAAGTTGACTGTCAGAAATATAGGTGGCAATAGGAAATGCAGCACATATGGAAGAGGAGCAAAGTGAAGAGAGGAATTCTATATGTTGTCATGATGGCTTGTATATACCACATATAGGAGGAGCGAAATTAGCGGTAGTTCGAAGGGCTGAGTCGTACAAAAGAACAGTTGGTAAGTTTGATCAAAGATGAAATTAGAGTCAGAATAAGCCATTGCTATAAATACAGGAAGACTCAAAGACTGTGCTTTTATAGAACAGTTGTTCAGTTGAATGTAGGTATAGATAGAATGACAGGGATAGATAGGTAGATGATACAATAGAAGATGTAAAGATGGAGTGGGGGAGTGCATTCAGCTCAAATGTAAAAACAGAAATTCCCATAAAGTTCAATAGAAATTCACATATTTTGATTAAAAAAAAAAAAGATGGCTTCCCCCAAAATATATTTACAATCCTGACTGAAAAAGAAGGGACCTAGCAATTTCAAGCAAATGTCTATGTTTCCTTTCTACCACACCATTTTGTTGTGGTGTATAGGGTAAGTTTTTTTATGGAATATACCAAGGCTGTGAAAAAGGTTTTGACAATTAGAATTGGTAAATTTAGTACCATTGTCGGACCTGGCTGATTTGACCTTCTTTCCAAACTGTGTATGAACAAGGTTAAAGAAATAGGTAAGAATAGAGGTTGATTGTGCTTTATTTTTCATTAAGAAGGTCCATGTAGTTCTGGTAAAATCATCTACTGTGGTCATAACATAAAAAGTACCACTGATAGACTTTTGTTTGTAAGGCCCCCATAAGTCAATGTGTATAAGATCAAATGAGCTAGAAGTTTGAATACAACTTGTTGGAATAGATAGTCTAGGTTGTTTAGAAAGATGACAAATGTCAAGGACATTTAGATTTACATCAGATGTATCACAAATATATACCTTCCTAAGTACAAAATCAGAAGTATGACTTAGTCTGGTATGCCACAGGTCTTTATTACTTGTATCCACTAAGTTTGACTGATGTAAGGTGTGATGCTGTGGAGAAGAGATGAAGGGATGACCAGCGTTGTCCTTGATAAACTAGTTGATAGTGTGGGATGAAAAAGATTTGGAATCCAAGACGTATAATCTGTTTAAGACCTTTCCAACACCAACAATTTTCCTAGTCTGTTGGTCCTGTAACAGACAGAAGGATGTGGAGAAATAACAATCAATGTGAGAAGCTGATGCCAATTTATTGACATAGATTAGGTTATATCTAAATGATGAAACATGCAAACATTCTGGTTGTTGGAAATGATCAGAATGGTGAGCAGTGCCTATGTTTTCTACTGATTTAATGGTACCATCAGGTAAAGTTATTGAGGTATAACTTGTGATAGGATGATATGAAGTAAGGAAGTTCAAGAATGCACACATGTGCCCTGTAGCACCCGAATCTAGGAACCAAAGAGTTAATAGCTGCTTTTCAAATAAACTCAAAGCAATCAAATCCTTGAAGCAACTAAAAGTACAAAAAATCCCGACTTTCTGTTCCCCTATTCCCTATTACAAAACTGTTGCTACTCTTTTTTGTACATCAGCAAAATGATAACATTCAAGTTCAGTTTAAAAAGACAATTGTACATTACATACTCACTTGTTCGCATCTTGTCTTGCCTATACAAAACTCTCTGTTTGACCTCCTTCTATATTTGCTCCAATATGCTGCCAGGAACTCTTTCACTTTGATAAAAAAGCCTCCTATTTTGCTCTTCCCACAAATGGTAAATGCATGCACTAAAAGCTGCCCACAGGATTGCCCTTTTCAGTTTGGTACCTTTCCACATATGCATAATCTGCCTTTTCCATCTACTAGCATCCTCTGCTAGTCTCCTACACTTCATCCAAGCCATAATTCCAGCTAATAACTCCTTTGCATAAGTGCACTCGAAGTACAAGTGATCAAGAAACTCATTCTCACGTCTACATAACAAGTAACTAGAATTTGTAATTGGTACCTACATAGCTGTTAGCCGGTCTCAAGTAAGTAGTCTTTTCCTCCATCCCAACCATGCAATAAAAGCATGCCTTGGCATATTCAATCGAGCCCAAATACACTGCATTTTTGGCTTTTTCTCTCTACTTCCCATGAACCACTGATATCCTGAGGTAATGGAGTACTTGCCATTCCTGCCAGCCACCCATTGAGCACCTCTGAAGCCACCTCTTGCTTGGTCTCTGACTTTCAAGATTTGTTTCCAATGACAACTCGAGTCATCCTTAGAATTTACTTCCTAGATTGATGAATTTTTTGTATACACTCCGTGAATCCAATTCACCCATGAGGATTCCTTCTGTAAAGCTAAATGCCACACCTGTTTGAGGATTGCTGCAGTCTTTATTTGCCTTTTCTACTACATCCAAAAACTGTTCTCTATTCAGCCTTCTAAAGTGATACTTCAATCTCTTCATTTTAGTCCATATTTGAAACATCTTGGTGCCTTTCACCTCCTGTTCCCAACTGCCTTTAACAAGTTCCAAAAACTGTGGAGATTGACTCCACATGTTGAAGTAGCAAAAAGTTTTCCCTTGTTTCCTGTTTCCAGCAAACATTTGAACCACCAAGGGTGAGTGATCACAAATGCTCTCCATAAAGATAGAAACTAGTGATTCTATATTTATATATATATATATATATATATATATATATATCTATATCAATTCAGTCTCCATTCGCAAGGGCTCTGTCAAGCTTAGCATAGATTCTTTCCTCCCCTAGTCTCTGATTACACCACGTAAAAATCTTCCCATTTTGTCTCAGGTCTTGTACTTCGCATTCTGTAAGACACCTTTGAAATTCCTCAAATCTTGCACTGTCACTTTCCTCCCACCAATTTTTTCATCTGGTTTTAAAATAGTATTAAAGTCCCCCATAAGAAGCGAGGGCCCTTTAATTCCAGTTGAAATCCTCATCAGGTCAACCCATAAACTTGCTCTTTCTTTTCGAGCATTGGAAGCATAGACTCCCGTAAAAAAAGTATTACTATTGCTCCTCTTATCTTTACAAAAGCAGTAGATCATTTCCTCTATTTGTTCCAGCTGAATCACATTCAAACTGTCATCCCAGATAATCATCACTCTCCCTCTTGCATGACTACTATAATTGGTTATCCATGTCCAGCCATTCCAATTCTGTTGTAAATACTGCTCCCCTCTTTCGTGTACCATTTTGGTTTCCACTAAGCATATCAGATTGTATTTAGCAGCCGCTATCATCCTTTTTAACTCCTGTTGTTTCAGGGGGAGTTTAAACCCCTGATATTCCAAGTAAGGATGCTACACATGGGAAATAGGTCCAGGATCAATCATTCTCTCCTTGGAACTATTTTTACCACCTATAGCATTTGTTTCAACTCTTCCCAGACCAGCATCTGCTTCTTTCTCTAAATGCTTTTCATCATTCCCTTTCCCAGTCACCTGTTCTGTATTATTTCTAGCACTTATCAATTGCTTTCTCATTTCCCCATCACTGTCTCTGGTATTCACCGGTGATCCAGTTGAGTTAGGCTCTTTGTGGATTCCCTCGTGTTGAGAGCTCCTAACAGAGCCTTCCTTGGTATCTAGGATCTCCTGTTGAATTCCAGAACACTGCAACCCCTCAGTCCTTTTCTTCACTTCTTCCATCCGGTCACTACCTGCTTAGGTTTCACTGGCATCTCAATCTTACCCTTTCAACAATTCTCAGTCAAGTGGCCAAAACCTGAACAACAAGTGCATCTGGTAGGCAACCATTCATAAACTATTTTTTGCATCTTCACATTACCAAGCTCATCCTCAAATACGATCTTATCAGGCACAATTTCAACAACTTCCATTTCAACCAAAATTCTCGCATATTGAACCCTATCCTTATTAACAGTGCATTCATCTGCTAAAATGGGATTCCCAATTGTACTGACCATGCATGCTACTTAAAGACGGTAAATTCCAATACTTCAACTCAAGTCCATGGAGTTGAATCCAAACAGGGACTCTATCTACATCCCAATAATTCAGCCCAATTTCAACATTCCATGGCTTAACTATAAATGGTTTATTCCTAAAATGATAGAAATTAACATTAAGTACTGCCTCTCTAGCCTGAACAGTAGTAAACCGAACTACAAACAAGCCACTAGGAAGAAAAAGTACCTTGTCAATACCATGTTTGCCCCACAGCTTCTGACGGTAATCCTTCATTACCCAAATCGGTGGATTCACGCCCAGTACAAAGCAGACTAATGCCGAATCCCAATATTCAGCTTCTTGCCAAACATAATCCTCCTTAATTTTTGCAATTTTTTGCCCTTTCACTTGCTTTGGTTGGATGAATTGCATCTTTCCACTGGGTTTCCTGAGTTCGTGAATGTCAAAACTCTCCCATCCTTTCTGCTTCCCCTCTCGTTCCATTTCCTTCGACCAATCAAGTTGTCTCCTTGGATTTGGCAAAACCCTAGTTTCCAGCCCAACCGGGATTGACCCCGTTACTCTTCCCCCTTCCAATTGATCTTCCACACTTACTCTAGGTTGAGGTGTACTCTCTTTTCCATCAGTCTGAGGCTTGCCCAATTTTTGTGAAGTCGAACCCTCAATTTCAGCTATCAATCTGTCCAACTCTCGTTCTTTCCTTTCCAAAATTTTCTTCAAATTGCTCCTCGCCTTTAACTATTCCCCAGATCCGTTTTGTGTACTCTGAATCAATTCGTCTACTAGCTATTGTTCTTCACCTTTCTGGCTTTGCGAAGCTTTTCCCTTCTTCTTTCGGCCCGTCATGAAAGGCGCACGTTATTATCGTGCACCGATAGTGAAGAGGGAGAAGTTCGCGATGCTTATATAATGAGCAAAGTTGACATGTCCAGTATTGTTGTTTCCAACAAGAACATTCATGTTCTTCATCATCTCAGACATCTCAGTCTGCATTATCTTCAAATTTTTCATCATTGCCATCATATTATCTTCATTAGTTGTGTCTCCTGTTTCTAACTCAAGGGGATGATCTGCCAAATTAGCTGAATTCCTAGGAATTTGAGGCTTCTTGTTCTCTTTAAACTCCTCCCACTAATCCGGATAACCAATGAGCTTAAAACATCCTTCCTTTAAGTGCCCTATCACCTTGCAATGATCGCATTTCAGCAGTTTCTTGAGAGTCTTATCCATTCTCAAATTGTTGTCCTTATTGATAGTATAAGTATTCTTCTTAGTTCCCTGATATGAAGCAGCCAAATTGCCAGATGGAGTAGGCAAAATTCCTAGTTTGTAATTCTTGTTTCCTGTAAGGCTTTCTTTGTGCCATCAATGCACTTTGCTCATCTGGATCAACAAAGTTCCTTGATTTACCTTGTGTAATCATAGCAACTTTTCTTCTGAGGCAATAAACCTGAGGTCCATTCCTTGTACCATGCGCTTCTCTCAATTCTTCCCAAAGGCTAGCAGCATCTTATGCCAAATTGTAATTCTCCACCAACTCATCCAAAATTGCGTTCAAGACCCACGAGACAACCCTATCGTTGACTCGATTCCACTGCTCAAAACTCGGATCATCTTCACTCAGTCGAGCCACTGAACCAATAATATAACCAATTTTGTTCTTTGTCCCCAAGAATCGTCGAACTGAATGACTCCAGGAGATGCAATTTTCTTCTGTCAACTTTGTATTGACAATTGACATCGAGGAATTATCCGAAGGATGCAGAACCAATGGATGTGTATAAACACCATAACTCAGCGAGTCTTGCTGATTAGTTGCCATTTCTGGTTAGTTTTTCGAGAAATCAAGGAAGGAAGAAGTAGAGATCACGAAAGGAAGAAGGTTCGAGATCTAGGGTTTTCTCGAACTTCCGATTACTCCAGCTACTGATTTTCGGCACAGAGCAGGATTATGACCTGCTCTAATACCATCTAACCGAAGCCAATTGGGATATTTTTGTGTTAATCCGATTGAAAAAAGATGTCGAATTAGGGAATCAAGAATGAGAGAATTTGGGGAAAGATTTTCTATATATTAAATGCGTAATGAATTTGTCTGAGTTCGATAATTATAATAACACTTAGATTCTATATTTGTAGTCTAATAAGCCAACTCACTGACTAAATTATACACAATTACAGCCAAGTCCTTAGACTATACAGAAAGTACAAATTAAACTATATAAATCAAACTATACAAACTAATGAATATGTGCACTAATTCACTATATTCACAAACACTAATACAAATCTGCAATTTTAGATACCCTAATGGTTGCTCAGAGTATATATGTATAAAACCGCACCAGCCCGATGCATGTACCTGTAAAAAATATAGCTTACTTAACTTGAAATAGGATTTTATTCATTCATATTTTTCTCTTACATCGATCTGCAGCTGGTGTCTATGTGGTATTCAACGCTTCCAACATATATGATCATGTGGAGTATAGAGCCCTCCAGTACAATAAGGCATTGTCATTTAATTATTCGTAAATTCATTTAGTATGTTCTTTTAAATGAAAATAAAATCTTAAAAATATTTCATAACAATTGAAATAACATAATAAATGTTAAACATATTTTTAAAATTTATTTTCAATTAGAATGATATACTAAATAAAATTTTAAGAAAAATAAAAAATGCCTTATCATAAGGATATCAGGGAGTAGCCAACATTAAGTTTTAATATTTATATGGTATAAATTTCAAACCTCAATTTAGATTATCTTTTGGGACACACATAATATATAGTTAATATATAGTTGATAAGGATATGAATTGTAAGCGACTGGCTTAATACCGTAACTCATGTAGAATGCACTTCTTTACTTATCCGGTCTCCGTGCCCTTGTTTTTTAGTCTTCTCCTATTTTAAAACCCTGGGTACCTTGCCTTTCTTACTCTCATTGGTTTTTCTTTTTTTATTTTTTCCGCCTCGACGGTATTAATGAGTCTCAATCTTATATCAGTGTTGATATATTTTAAGTATCAATATATAAACTTTATGGGATACTCTCCTCATTACTAATTGGTTTTGAGGTGGAATCCCATGGATTTCTATATGGTACGAAAGACAGCCTGTCAACATTCGGACTCCAAAAAATCCAACAGAAAAATAGGGTTGAGAGGTGAGGCGGTGCCTGGGCTGAAAAAGTAGGACAAGTCTAACCCCAAAAAGAAATGTTGGGTTTGCGGGGGAGTATTAAAGAGTTTCAATCCTACATCATTGTTGAGAGACTCTGAGTATCAATATACAAACTCCATGGACTATTCTCCTCTTGTCAATTAGTTTTGACTTAGAACTTCATGGGCTTCTATAGACGGGGATAAATGATGGTACATGCTGAAGGGCGTTTTGCCTTAACACTAATGACACAAAAAGGATAAAAAAAAAATGTAAAAGAAAAGTTACCTCCTTCTCTGGATTGATTGGGATAACTGTTTCAAATACTGAATTTGCAAACATAATAAAAACACAAAAGAAAAAAAAGGGTAGCATTTAAACCTTTAATTCCAACAACCCAACCTTCTCAATTATGTTTGCATTTTATCTTTGGTGGTGGTAACATTACAAAAAAACATCCGGTCAGCCACGACAACAGTCGTGCCTAATTTTGCCTTCAAGGTCGTGGCTAACTGTATTAGCAACGACTTTAGACACGACTTGGAAGAAGTAACTAAAGTGTCTGTGCCTAAATCTTAGACACAGAAAGTCAACGCTCCGTAGCTAACTTAGACACAAAATAATTCGTGTTTAAATATAAAATTTTCGTGCCTAATATTTTGGTGAAATTTTAAAAAACAACACGATATTAACAACGGCATTCCGTGGCAAAATTTGTGTTTAATTTAAACACGGTTGTGTCTAAAATACAATTTTTTTTGGGCACAAAATACTCATAAAAAAGTCGTGTCTAAAAATGTATGAATTACTTATTTCTAAAAAAACAAAATTTTAAAATTGTCATTAAATTTTCTAAAAACCTATACAACCATTCATTTCAACTGCAAAATATAAAAGCATTAAATTCAAACCAAGAAACATCTAGTTAGACATTTCGTTCTACAATATACATAGATATCGAATAGTACTCAAGTTATAACATCTTGAATTACAACCAAAGTAAAGAGTCGATGGAAATCGCTCCCAAACACAATACTAAAAAGGAACTAGTCCTCCTCTGGAGTAAATTCCAAAATACAAGCTAACAACTAACAATCAATTGAGACAATGTTCTTTGGCCATTCAACCTTCTAAATCAGTAGTACGTGCATTATGATTATTTGTCATACCTCTTAATTCCGAAGGACCATTTTCAGCTTCAATGCCAACACTTGGTTCACTTGGTTCAATTGTTGAATCATCATAAATTGCAATTGAACTACTTAGTGTCGAGGATGCAATATGCTCCTTGGGGCTATATGTGTCAATCTTGCCTTTTTGTTGTCCAATGGATGATACCAGATTGTTTAAAACCTAAGACCATACACTCTTTTCTTCTTCTCACCTCGAAAACATTATAAAAGGTTCCATTTAACAACTTTTGGTAGAGGTTCATCAGCTTCGAATGAATTAGAGTCATGCTTACGAGTGTTCTCCAGATTCATCACTTTGTCCTATAACAGCTGAAGATGAAAAAAATGGTGTTGGCATCAAATGTATACCGGAACAAAG